GTCACCTGAACGAAATTTGCTGAACCATCGTTGACACTTACGAACGTTCAAAACATTTCCATAAACTTCTTTGATATTCTTTGTGTCTACAGAGGCATTGTTTCCCTTCTTGTATTCAAACAGTATTACATGCCGAATGTGTGTGTCTCGTCATGTGCTATCATTATAAGAGATTAAAGTATACTAAACCTTACACATTATATAGGCTACACTAACGTGACGTTTAAGTTGTTCTTTTAACTATTATACGTGATGTACGTTTTTTGGGAGTTGGTTAATAAAAATGTTCCAAAACGCGACATTAATTTCTTGATACACCACATTGAGAATCCTAGCGATGAGCTCCTACATGTCATCCTTCTCTTCTTTTTTCCCCTTAAGTTTCTCTCAAACTTCTTGCTACAGCTGCCTCTCTCATTCCTTCAAGTCTTCCATTTCTCAATTCAGGTTCTTGTGAACATATTTCAGCTCTTCAGTTTCAAGCCTTAATACTTCATTCCCGTGATATGTTTTTTCCTTCTTCTGCTTTTCTTGCATCTTCTGAACTATTTTTTGAAAGAGATTTTGATGTGGCTTTTTTGTAGTATTTTAAAGGTTAACCAAACGAGACCTTAAAATCATTTACATTGAATATTATACCAATGGAATTGATCAGTTCTTTACATCAGTTCCCTGCTAGAAAAGTGACCAGTATAATCACGTATTTAACATCAGTTACCATTATTTAAACAAATAACGAGTACTTTTTAAAATAAACTATGTTCAATATAGATACCATTTTAAAAATAACACAACAGTAGTTCATTCTATTCTATTTCGAAAAAAAGTTAATGGACAAAGTCTCCAATTCCCAAAACAAAGTCGTTGTCGACAGTTCAATAATCTTAAAATTAGCGATTGTCAACAGAATATCACCGAAATTTAAAACACGCTAAACAAGTCATCAGCATTGCTCCTTTTTTTTTCTTCTTTTTTTATTGAACCTTCTCTCATAGAGGGAGTATGTACACATGAATGGTACAGATAAACATAGAAATGTAATACAGACATAATAGATGAATACATTTCTAAACAAAATTAAATTAAATAATTTAATTAATACAAAAAAATTTAACGGGTAGTTACTAAACAAAAATACAATAGATCACGT